AATATACAACTTTGCTGAATACACCAATGCTTTTCATTGACATCAATGTGATATACAGCCCATCAAGCGTTTTTGTGATGTCATATTCAACGGCTCGAAAAGAGGGTGGGCGGGCCCTGGCGGGGTCTAAAACTGGTTGTATTTTGAAGATTACCTTATAAAATAGTACTTCTGAAAATTTCAGCGTTGGGTACTGAGGGGTACCTAGCCAAATCTCGATTCGAAAATGTCAATATTATATACAACCCATCGGACGGTTTTGTGACGCCATATTGAACGGCCCGAAAAGATGGTAGGCGGCCCCTGGCAGGGTTTAAAACCGATTGAATTTCGAAGATTACATTATAAAATAGTACTCCTGAAATATTCCGCGTTGGGTATTGAGCTATGAATCAATGATTTTAACCTACACATGTTTGAACTTGCAAATTATTAAAATTATTAAGCTTAATCTGGAGATGTATTTAATGGGTTTGTTCTTAATGTGTTTGTTCTTCAGTGTACCTACATTGATATGTACATTCATTGCAATATTGATACTCATATGTTGATAGTTGCAAATATTATAATGCAAGCTAATAATATTGGTATATTCTTTGCCCTTTATTATATACAATATGGACTAAAATATCGGTATAACTTTCAAGAAAACTAGAATAAATGATAAAATTCTGACTACGGTTCTAAAGGGTTCCAACTTTGAACTTTCCCACACCACCCTCTTTTCAGAACATGGAACGTGACTTCACAACAGATGTTTGAAACTTCCTCGTGCACATCGCTGAACGCTGCTGCAGATGACTATTTTGGGCTTGACGTTTTGGCGATAGCAAAGAGCGATAGAGTTTATTTAATTATCTAGGTGTGATTTTTTTCACGAACAACTTTTTTTTTTTTTTGCTTTATTATAGAGACTTTCAGCCTGTAGCTGGTTCGTCTCTTTACGAACAACTTGTATTGAAGTTGTGGTTCAAAATGAATTCATTCAATCTTTGTCGGATTTAATTGTTCAAAGTGTGGGCGGAGCAGATTCATGGAAAGCGCGATGTCAAATATTATCGAAGATAGTCAGGTAAGGAGTAATTCAAACATATTTTTTTTTCAATATTGGCATACTCAAAATATCAAAGTTCAGAATATGCAGTTGATGTACAAACCCATTGATAACATTTCAAGATAATGCAATTTTTATATAGTTGTAAATTGTATCATGAGTAAGTAGCACACTCGTAGCACACATTGGTTTATAACTTGTACTAAATATATATAAACGAGATTTGACTAGGTACCCCTCGGTACCCAACGCTCAAATTTTTAGGAGTACTATTTTATAAGGTGACCTTCCAAATACAATCAGTTTTCGACTATATCAGGGCCCGCCTACCCTATTTTCGAGCCATTGAATATGACGTCACAAAAACGCATGATGGGGTACATATAACATTGACTATTTCGACTCGAAATTTGACTAGATACCCCTGGAAACCCAGCACTGAACTTTTCAGGAGTACTATTTTATAATGTAATCTTCGAAATTCAATCGGTTTTAAACCCAGCCAGGGGCCGCCTACCATCTTTTCGGGCCGTTCAATATGGCGTCACAAAACCGTCCGATGGGCTGTATATAATATTGACATTTTCGAATCGAGATTTGGCTAGGTACCCCTCAGTACCCAACGCTGAAATTTTCAGAAGTACTATTTTATAAGGTAATCTTCAAAATACAACCAGTTTTAGACCCCGCCAGGGCCCGCCCACCCTCTTTTCGAGCCGTTGAATATGACGTCACAAAAACGCTTGATGGGCTGTATATCACATCGATGTCAATGAAGAGCATTGGTGTATTCAGCAAAGTTGTATATTTTAATGATGCCAACAATTTCTTAGAACATGATAAATTGATCAAATTTGAAAAAAAGCACTAATTAACTTAAAAAACCAATATTAAGGTAGTCTTAAAAGAAAATCTATTATAGCTCTACAGAGTTAAGATGTAGAAATTTGGTGTCTTTAGCAAATGTTCATGAAATCAACTGCTCTGCAACTTTGTCCAAGACATGAAACCATTATCTCGTAACTGGAAAAAGTTAGAATTTGGATGTGTAATACTAGCTTAAATATTATTCAGGTGTGTATTTCAAAAGATGCGAGTTATAATTTTGAGCAACTTCTCCCAAGGCACCCAGTCTCTAAAACGTCGAAAAAGGGTAGAAAATATTTTTGACCGTCTTTATTCATATTCGTGCCACTGTGCGCTGCAACAGCCACATGGACGGATCGAGTATCAGCACCACGACGGACTACGTGACTGGAAGACCATCGTCGTTGCTAGGTGCTAGGTCAGCTGTTTTAGGGAACAGGCAATGGTAGCTAGGTGTTCGACAGGATTTAATAAAGACATTATTGTTAGAACCATCGACGAGTGTAGTTCGTAGTTTAGTCAAGACTTTTTGTCTGGTAAACAGTAGTTAATAATTTTCTCACCACGTGGCGTTAGTATACATGTACACTTCTCGCATATGCTATATCTCGAGATCCTGATCAGATAGAAAGTTGTTCAGGAGGTCAAGGTATTTTAGCTGGTGGACAGTAGTTCAGAATTTTCTCACTTCATGATTTTCTAGTATACATGTGAAATTCTCGCATATAAAATATCTCACGTTCTTGACCAGATAGAAAGTTACTGTCTTGAACAAAGTTGTTCAGGAGTTTAAAGCCTAGATTTTATGAGAAAATACTAAACTATTGTTCACCAGCCAAAAATGCTTTGACCTCCTGAACAACTTTGTCGAAGACAGTAACTTTCTATCTGGTCAGGATCTGGAAACAAACCACATGCGAGAATTTCACGTGTATTCTAGCGCTACGTAGCGAGAAAATTTTGAACTACTGTCCACTAGAGAAATCTATCTGATCAAAATCTCGAGATATTTTACATGTGAGAATGTCGCGTGTATACTAGCGCCACGTAGTGTGACAATTCTGAACTATTGTGCACCAAGCAATAGGCATTGACCTGATGAACAACTTTTTCGAAGACAGTAATTTTTACTTGTTCAGAATCTCGAGCTTAGCATACGCGAGAATTGTACACGTTTACTAGCGCCATGTGGTGAAAAATTTCTAGGCTACTGCTGTCCACCAGCCAAAAAGTCTTGACCCCCTGAACAAGTTTGCCGAAAACAGTAACTTTCTATCTGCTCAGGATCTCGAGCTATTGTATATGCGAGAATTGCATGTGTATACTAGCTCCGAGTAGGGAGAAAATTCTGAACAACTGTCCACCAACGAAAAGATCTTGACTTCCTGAAAAACTTTGCCAAAGACATTTATCTTGTCAGGATCTAGTGATGTATCACATGCGAGAACTTAACATGTGTACGAGCACTACCTAGTGAGAAGATTTTGAACTACTGTTAATCAGCAAAAAAGCTATGATCTCCTGAACAGCTTTGGCTAAGACAGTATCTATCTGTCTGGTCAGGATCTCGAGATATTTTATATGAGAATTTCACGTTTATATTAGCGCCATGTAGTGAGAAAATTCGGAACTACTGTCCACCAGCCAAAACTACTTGACACCCTGAACAAGTTTGCCGAAGACAGTAACTTCTATCTGCTCGAGCTCGATCTCGAGCTATTGTATATGCGAAAATTGCATGTATATACTAGCGCCACGTAGTGAGAATTTACTAAACTACTCCACCAACGAAAAGATCTGGACTTCCTGAAAAACTTTGCCGAAAACAGTAACTTGTTATATGGTAAGGATCTAGAAATATTTTATATATGCGAGAATTTCATATGTATACTAGTGCCGCGAAGTGAGAAAACGCTGAACTACTGTCCACCAAAGAAAAGGCCTTGACCTTCTGAACAACTTTGTCGACGACAGTAATTTTCTATCTGGTCATGATCTCGAGATATATCACATGCTATAATTTCACATGTATTCTAGCGCTACGTAGTGAGAAAATTCTGCACTACTCTCCACCAGCGAAAAGATTATGATCTCTAGAACAACTTTGCCCAAGACAGTAATTTTCTATCTGGTCAGGATCTCGAGATTTTCCATGTTGTAACCAATTAAGTCAAATCCCACGTAGCACGGACACCGTTTACGCGGTTTCCATTCACATTTTATCTATTATCCGCATTTTTGTGGGTTAACTGTGATAAAATTTTAGCTTGTTTAGTTAAAAACAAGTTTTTTAATGAATACCCGTTGGTTTCATTTCCCGGCTGCAAAATGGCAATGGAAAACTCACACTGTTGTACAAAGTACAACGCGCGAGTACTCGTGTTATAAAAGTTGGCGCGAGTAACGGAGGGTTAAACAAGGCTGACAGCTTTTGATATGAGGGTTTAAATTTTACCGAACGTTCAGCTGTTGAAAGGTCGGTAAAAATTACTGAAGCCGGTAATAATTTCTAGTTGTATAGTTTTCGGGAGTTGGTGATTTTTGTTCCACAACCCACAGCACTAAGCATTTCTCCGATGTCTGTTAAAAATCTCGTTACTGTTCCCTTGTACGATCGATAGGTACTCGAGTATTGCTTTTTGGAATCCGATCTACAACGATGCCGATAGAATAGAATCGGTTCAATGTCGGTTGTTTTCTTCGTTTTACGCTTCGTAGATTGTACAAATTGGCTTCGACTGCCCAGCTACGAAAGCTGTTGTCAACTGATCACGGTGTTTATTAGAATAACATTTAAACAAACAAAAATCCGCATTCCCGAAACCTTTGAAACGCAGCCGAATATTTCTGTTTTTAGTGCATCGATTAGCGAAGTTTAACCCAATGCAAAACCCCCGTATTTTGCGAGTCACGTGACTCTCTGAGCAAATAAAATGGAGAGTCATCTCACACGAGATGACATATTATTGCCACCACACCGGTGAGAGGAAGCGCGGAATGAAAATGGAAATGTTCAAAGAATTTCAATTTCCCCCCACTTCCAATGTAAGGAAATTACACCTACAACTTCAATACTCACTGGCATAATGTGGCACATTCGGAGCGGTGTGGAACAGTCTATGGATGCCGTGTCCGCAGTAGCTCTTAACAACGCTGTATCCATGGGCATGGACGTGTTTCTGAATTACGTTTCCTATCTCACGGTAACGCTCTCCCGGCCTAAAAGATACAAACATATTATTCCCAACGTTTCAAACAAAACACAAATGCAACCATCGAACATACTTCACAATGGCAATCGCCTTCATCAGCGCCTCGTAGGTGATCTGCACCAGCTTCTTGTGCTGTTCCTTGACGTTACCGACGAAGAACGTCTCATTCAAATCCCCATGGAAGTTGCGATGATAAACCGTCACGTCAACGTTGCAAAGATCGCCGTCCTCCAGCGGGCGCATGTCCGGAATTCCGTGGCAAATCACTTCATTCACCGACGTGCAGCACGACTTCGGGAAGTTGTAGTAATTCAACGGACTCGGATAGCATTCTCTCTCAATGCAAGCCTCGTGCACGATCCGATCGATTTCGTCCGTCGTAACTCCCACGTCGCAGACGCGAGCAGCTTCATCTAAAACTTCCCGCCCTAGACGGGTTGCAACTCTCATGCCTTCCTCTTCTTCGTCATCCAAAATTTTGATCGTAGTGTTTCCTCTCAACGATTCCTCCGATTTGGAACGACCCTCCTTGTGATCGGCATAATCCGGGCGAGGAATACTAGCCGGAACCAGTCTCGGCTCCGACTGCGGGAAGGGTCGCAACTTACCGGTGAATGTGTAGTAAGGCCACGGATTGTACACGTTCTTATCCTCTTTACCCTCTGAAATAAACCGGCAAAAAAATGTAAACGGGGTTAATTGGATTATATCACCTTCCATTCCAAACATGACCGGTCGTCTGGTATTGAACCGAAATCGATTACTCACTCGCCAGCAGGTGAATCACCTTGTGTGCCTTCCAGGAACTCTTGAAGCAGTCCTGGCCGCAAAAGTACGATCCCTGGATGCCCATCTTGAGGCACACCGGACACTGGAGGGTGGCCGTTTTCTTACAATCCTCCGTTTCGCATTGATGCTGCATCTTTACGTCGTTCAATGGCATCTACCCTGCTGGTCAAATAGCAAAAATGCAAATTCCGGCTTAAACTTTGTGGCAAAAATGTCACACTACAAAGTCTTTTTATAGACAACAGGATTGATCCTATTTTTATATGAAACGCCACTGGTGTAGGGAGGAAACAAGAAAAAAAAATATCACGGCACGACGATTCGGAAGTGCCCGCGGTGGCGCAGAGTAACCAAAAACGCGGAGGAACTGTTTCTGTTTTGACTTTTGGTTTTGATAGAACTGAGATGAGAAGGCAAACGAGCTGTCATTAATTCTCATATCCAGCGTTGCCAGATATACCGATTTATCGGTATTTGTACCGATTTTCCAACTTCAAGCTGAACATTGCATTATGTAGTTTCTAAGTAACATTGACAGATTCTCTTCGTCAACTTTCTCTTTGTATCCCCACGGCCATGTAAAGGTAGTTTCAGCACACATATCGATACAAGAAGCTTTTATCTAGCATCTTATATGACAAACACAACAACAAACGGTGTGCTCAAGTTATTAACGAAAGAGAAAGTCGACGAAGAGAATCGTTCAATGTTGCTTAGGATCTAATGCAATGTTCAGCTTGACTTGATACCGATACCTCTGTCTGTTGCACGCAAGTTTGCCATAAGGCCGTTCGCAATGCTGTTGTATTTTATAAGGACTGTTTCAATTTGAAACTACACAGAAAAAAAAGTTGTTGAATAATACATCCAAACTGCTGCAACCAGGTCAATCCATGGGTTGTGTAATATAACGTTGTACGATGTACATCGATTTTGCGAACAAAATTACATCCATTAATGTAATATTGTATCTGCTTTTTGCTTTCAAAGTGTTTTTATGTTACTTCATACGCGAAGTTAGCGATTTTCAGAGTTGGTTGGAAATGCTAACATGAAGCTTTAGTGTGCTAATTTATTAACTAGAGAATGATCTTTAGAAGAGGGTAGGTGGATAGTTCCGTTAGAGTACGGCAGTATGAAAATTGAATAGAAGTTGAAAATGAGCGAAGGGCCATTAATGCGACAGTTTTTAAAGATAGACGCACATCTTTTGCCTAACGCGTATGATGTACGCAGAGATTTGAAGCATGTCTCCAAGTCTACAGCCAAAAAATAAACGTCCCTCTTTTCCTCATAAACTGACTGCGGCTGTGGAATAGTTCTAGCGACGTTTTCATCACTACCTAAAGCCACACTTTGAATGTAACAACTCAAGGCGGGAGTAGTAACCGTCAACAATGCTGATGATGGTACAGCACGCAACAACCACCCTACTGCCTTCTCTCTGAGATGACCAAGTTGGTTTTGCCTTCTTCTCGAGCAGAGATGCCAGATTTTTGTTTCAGAAGTCTGCGAAAAATGTCTGTGAATTTCAGAAATGTCTGTAATTGGACTGCACAAAATTAGCAGAAGTTTAGCGTATGATGAATATGGAGGGGGGGGGGGGGGGTGGTTGTTAAATAGATGCGAAATTTTACATGTCTGTAAAAGTCATGTTCGAGCAAAAAGGACCTGCCTTTGACGAATTCAACCTAATTGGAATTGGGAATGCATCCATTTACGCCGTATAGCAATTAATAAAGCGGTGCCGGTGGTGTAGTGGTAAGCGTGATTACCTCTCACCCCAGCAGGTTTGGGTTCAATCTCAGTCGGCTCCGCCGGGATGTTCTGAGGCATAACATCTCTGATCACGATCAGGGAAGTAAAGCCGTTGGTCCCCGGTTCATGAGTTGATGGGTCGATAGGTAGGGTAAGGTCCAGGTTTGGGAGCTGCCTTCCTGGCGTCGGTAGTATTGGTGCTCAGCACGGAAAACAAGATCGACGGAAACAAAATCAAGGAAAAAAAAAGCAATTAATAAAAAGATAAATTATGATTACACGACAAATGAGGTCAACTCAAAGTTTAGATTAGTTCACTCATATTCGTGAAAACGTAGTTAAATAGACTGAGTAAACTTCCCGAGCTTTTACAGGAATTTGTTTTCTAATATGAGCAACATCTCGATGTACATACGAAATTAGTACGCGGAAAAAAGTTTTCATGTAGTTTCTATTGGGAATGCACATCAAATTTTTACATTAACAAAACCAATGATATCTATCTGAATTTCACAATCGATAGGTGCCATCGATGCTGATCTTCACTGGATGCCTGATATTGAGGAAGTCTGTTGAGGTAGCGATGGAAATTAGTAATGACCTTGGAGATATCGGAGAATTTCCCAATCGTGTCATATGCGTTTCCATACTTCCTATAATGTGTGTTATGCGCTATACTATCACCTCAAAATTTCAAGAGCACAGCTGCCACAAAACATACAACAATGAAACTGGAAGTTCACATTTGATGCAGAAGCCAGGGAGTTCAAATTTCATGAGTGATGACACAACTGTGTCCGAAATTTGTTCCCTAGAAAACTAGAAGTGATAGGCCATTTCAGCCACCATCAGGCAATTTGTGGACTCTTCAAGGAATCACCATTAATGATTTTTGATCATACGATTTTCGAACAGATTTATCAACCAACAATCCTAAAGGGTGGATCAGCAAACATGTAATGACCTTATCTTGCAAACTGAAGCACGCCAACGCAAATCAATTCCACCATCGAATAGGAGAGAATTTTCCCTCTAGCCGACGGTATTGTTGATTTGGCAAGGTGAGCTTCGATTTGCGAGAAAAGATCATTACAAGATTTGATTACAAAAGCTGATCCGTCTTTTTGAATTGTTGGTTGAGATTTCACGACGTTCCTTTCTTATAAACAAACGACTGTCATCGTTACCTGTCATGATACTTATAGAAATGTGACCCGATACAAGAATATGACCGATAAATATCATTATTATTTATTTAAGAGAGATTTAAGCACGATTATATCGGATGAATCCGATAAAATGGATTTCTCCGACAGTAAATCAAACTTTAGAGTAATTTTTGGCAAATTTTGAATAAATCTTGGACTTTTGCCCCCTCGATTTCATTTACTTTTTCAGTGACAGTGTTTCTAAACAGTCAAGATATAGACCGGCCACTGGGAGTCGACGTATACAAACAAACCGTCAAATCATATGCAAAATGTTCGTTTTGGATACAAAATTGCAGCACATTGACAGGTCTATAACAATCAGCGTTACCAGAATGTTTTAAAGCTTATCAGTGTCAAAGGTTTTAAAAAATCGGTATTTATCGGTATTTACTATTTGAATTAATTTTAACTTTTTGCCGTTTTTGAAAGCGAAATTTTATATCTTTTGGACTATGATCGGAAAATTCCGGGTATATTTGAATTAGCTTCTGGAGGAAGCTGAAAACAACATCCAGAAAAAGTAGAAAGAAGCTCTCCTGGAGGAAATTTGAGGAAAGTTCTGAGAGAAGTCAAAAAATTATCCGCGAACTTCCAAGACATAAATTGAAAAACTTCTGGCGAAAATTTAAAGAAACATTCAGAAAAAATTAGGATTTCACATTCAAAGGAAGGCAGAAAAGTTTCGGAAATAGGAAATAAATTCCAGAACTAGCCATTTACAGGGGAAGCCAGAAAGAGCTAGGAAAAACCTTCCAATAGAAGTCAAAAAAAAAAAAAACCAACTGGACAAAATTCCAGAACTAGACGAAAGAAATTTCTGGGAGAAGTTTATTGAACTTCCTGGAGAAGACGGAAGAAACTTCCTAAGATAGATTGGAAAAAAAAATTCTGGAGGAATCGAAAAAAAAAAACAACGACATAATTCCAGAAGAAAGAGCTCTTGGGGATGTTCTAATGATCCAGAAAATTTTCCAAATGGTCATAAAACATCGCTGAAGACCCCGCAATGCCCCTGAAGTTTTTGGAACATTCCTGAAATTTACTTAGGAATATTCCATATTTCCTCGGGCTGTTTTGGAGAGCTCTGATCATCTTTGAAATACGTAGAACTTCCCTGATTGTAATAAGACCACCGGAATATCTCTAATCAACTTTGAAGGTCTCTTGACTTTCTTAAAGATTACGAAATGTTTTAAGTGCTCTTACAATTTTTTTGAATTTATTGTAACATCAGCATTGAAGTTCTCTGATCTTCCCTATTTTTCTAATTATTTAAATTTATCAACACTACAACAAAATGTTCTCACAATGTGATGTTCATGTAACTTCCCTTACGTTTCCTAAATTTGTATGAGCCTCTCGGAACATTGCTGAAGTGTTTGGAAATTGCCTGAGTTTCTCGGACCTCCTTTAAAATTTCAGCGATTTTCTTGAAATTTATTGATCTGTCCAGATGTTCATGTTCTCGGAGCTTCCTAAAGTTCTCTCAATTCTCCTGAAACTAAATTTTCCAGAACTTCTTTGGACTTGTGAAGTATCCAAAATATTCATGATGTTTCCTTAAGTTCACTGGAGTTCGCTGGACCGGGTTTTAGAATTTTAACAGAAGTTATTGAAACATTCTTCAATTTATCTCAACTTACTCAAAAGTCTGGACTTTTCTGAAGTTTTCTTAAAAGTTCCTGCAGCTAGTGTGGATCCGCAATCAAAATCTGGAAGCATCCCTGAAGTTCCGGGAAAGTTGAAAAACTGGCGGGAAAAGACGGAAGAATCATTCGAGCGAAGGTTGAAGAACTTCCAAGGGAAGTCGAAATAAGTTTCTGAGAGGAATCGTAAAATAATTTACGATGTAGGGTGGACGAAAATTCAGGAAGTTAAATAATGTTCAAAAAGTATTTCTCGATTCCCCGGAATTACCAGACATAGCCATCGACTGTTTATCGATTCATGGGTAGCCAAAAACGGTAAGCTAATTGAAACATTAATCGAAAGAGTATCCATAAGACATTTTAAAGATGATTTTTTTTTTATTTTAAAGGCTTAAAAAATTTGAAAAATTTTAAAAGATACAAGTCTCTAACAATAATTTTCTCTGAAATTCATTCATTTTGATTATTTAATAAAATCGGTATAAATCGGTATAAAAACTCAAAAATCGGTATTCTGAGGAACCTTATCTGTATATCGGTATCTACACACTAAGATTTTTTTGCCGAGATGGGCACCACCGAGCAGCTCGGCATTTTATTTTGCTGGAAATTCAGCAAAAAATATGTTTGTTAGCTGAGATCTCGGCAAAATTCCCGTTTGTTAGCTGAATCTCGGCAAGTTTTTCACTGAGATCCAGCAAAATAAAATGCCGAGCTGCTCGGTGGTGCCCATCTCGGCGAAAAAATCTAAGTGTGTAGTTCGGGAATCGGTATAAATACCGATAAATCGGTATATCTGGCAACGCTGATAACAATGAGCGTCTATAACAGTGACAGCTCGTTCGTGTGGTGGATTTGAAAACGCGCGAATTTCTAATGCGTGTTGCAAAATGCATCGCACGTGTTATTTGTAGATGTAGAACAGTGTAACACTATAAATTTTAAAATTTTCCCTTGATTACAAAAATCTGTAAATATCTATGAAAAACTAAAAAGTCTGTAAATGTCTGTAACGAAAAAAATGTCTTTGAAAAAAATAAAAGTCTGTAAATTCACAAACATGTCTGTAAATCTGGCATCTCTGTTCTCGAAACCAGGGCCGTTAAGAGCAGCGTTGTCAGATTGTTTTCACGTTTATTACGGTTAATGGTTTTAAAAAATCGGTATTTTTCGGTACAGTCGAATTTCCCTCGTTGGGCTACGTTTTAGTTGGGCTCCCGTTAGTTTGGCTGTAGCCCACCTAAATCGAAGTCAAACGTCATTTCTGACATTGCAGATTTAATTTCGAGGGGCTCATGGATGAACAATTTGGATAGTTGCTAAACGATTTTGATGATAATAGACAATGTGTGTGTCCGCAAGCAATTTTCAGCTTTGCCAGCTCAGCCCAACTGACGAAAGCCTTTCACTAAGTGGGCTATGGGTTTAGCCTAACGAGCGAAAGTTGACTGTATTTACTATTTCATTTTATTTTATGTTATTGTCATTTTCGAAGGCGAAAATTTAAGCTAAAAACAGCCTTTGCAGGGAAGTCGGAAGAAATTTTGAAGTGTTTGAATTAGCTTCTGAAGGAAGCCAGAAAAAAACCTTCCAGATAATGAATAAATGAGCTCTTCTGGAAGAAGTTTGAATAAAGTTCTAAGAAAAGCCGAAAAAACACACGGGAAAATAAAAAAAAATGTATTGAGGAACTTCTTGGAAAAATTTAAAGAAACTTTCGGAAAAACGTTTGAATACAGCTTGAGGCTGTATACATGAAATGAGTAAAGCGTTTACATTGTAAAAATTGTTAGTTGGCATATGATTAGATGTTTAGCTTATGTCGTTTGACCTGTAAACGGTCAAATTTGATCGATTATACGTCAAACGACACAACCTAAAAATCAAATCGAATGTTCCCTTCCAGAAACTCAACCAGATTGTAATTCAATGCATAATCAATGCAACATCAATCCGATCCTAAATGGATCCAGAACCCAGTAAAACAAAAAAAAAAAAAAACGATTCATACTCAATCTAAAGTTTATCCAAAATCAATCCTAATTTAATTCGAAATCAAATCAAAATCTAACTAAATCTAATCCAAAATAAATAAATGCTCAATCCACACTCAATCCATGATCATAAAACATCAATAATACAAAATATATGCAATATATATAACAAATCATTAAATTATCAATCCTAAATCATTCTGGAATCAAAAAAAAAAAAAAAAATCCGTACCTAATCCATATTCAATACAAAATCGGTTCAAAAGAAACCAGTCTTTTCCTAAATCTATCGAAAATCAACCCAAAATCGATAAAAAAAAAATCCAAAATCAATCTAATGTTAATTATGATTCTATTTACAAATAAAAAATAAAAAAAATAAAATACCAAACCAATACAAATCAATTCATCAAATCATACACACTAAGATTATTTTACCGAAATTTGTGAAATTTTACCGAAAACTTTCCTGTAATGTTTCAACGAATATATGTGAAAAAATCACAGAAAATCTGTGAAAAATCACCGAACTGTTTACCGAACGTTCAGCTGTTGAGATTTCGGTAAAATAATCTTAGTGTGTAGCATCCTAAATTACACCCTAAATAAATTCAAAAATAATTCTAAATCAATCCGAAATGAAATTTCCTAACCAACAACCTGCAAAGATTTAAGGCGATACAATCTTGAAGAAGTCTCGTTTAAGCTGAATAACCGTAGTTTGGACTTAGTAAACAACTACTCAGCTTTCGTTTGTGATTTTCTCATGATATCAGGTTCTGGTTAATCTAGAAATGAAACAAACCATCTGGAAAATTTGAAGTTATTTTATTAAAATAAATAAATTAGGTTTGTAAAATTGTCGCTTGTCACTAAAATTAGCTAATAAATAACATAATAAACATTCACTAGTTTTCTACGTAGAGACATAATAAATAGTTTGCTTGGCCATGAGTGTTACACTAGAAAAGTTGGAATTAAGCTTCTCCTAATGCGATCGGATGCGATGTATTTGTCCCAGGCGACTTCAATGCTTGGAAACCTGAAAAAAAAAAAATTCCTCACCACCGCAACAAGCAGGCTGGTCTGATAACTGACCACCTTCATCATGTATCCAGGAATCTGTGTTTAACACTATCATCATCCAACATAGTTAGCACCTTAGATGGAATTTGTTCATTACAGAATTTTGTATGACGGACCCTAGTCCAATCGGTGATTGCTGTAGTGCCGATAGAATTCGGTTTCGTAATCGCTGGTGCTTTCGGTCGCGACATCTTCGTCGACTCTGGCTATACTATCCGCGGTCGATTCTTCTTGATAGTCGTGGACCGGTTGGTTGGCCTCCGTCCCGACACTCGGTTCAGTATTGAATAGATTGGCTGCCTCCTCGTCGTCAGCGTAGTCGTAGTTCAGCTCGTCCATGCGCTTCTGGGCTTTTACCTGAAAGAAAAGACATGGTTTGTGGGTGGTTGCACGGTTCGACGACTTCGCTAGAACACTTACGCTGTTGGGATAGTCGTTTTCCGTATCGGGCACGAATATTCGCAGTGGGGTCGTAGTTGTCTGTGGTTCGTCAGTTGCTCGTTTGCTGTTTTGGACGTCGTTAGCCTGATCAAGGGCATTGGCAACGGCTTGTTGATGCTCCTGGTAGGCCAGCAGGTAATCGGTGGACTGTGTCGCTGCCGGTTGCTGTTGCTGTTGGTAGAGGTCCTGCTGAGCTTGCGCTAGGATCTTGTCGTTCTCTGCCTGCCTTTCGGATAGATCGTAGTACGGTTGCTGTTGTTGATATGGTTGTTGTTGATACGGTTGTTGTTGATATGGTTGTTGTTGATACGGTTGTTGTTGATATGGTTGTTGTTGTTGTGGTTGCAGCTGGAACTGTTGTTGATGTGGTTGCTGTTGTTGTGGTTGGTGCTGGAACTGTTGTTGATGATGTTGCTCCTGATCAACGTTGTAGTGGTAGTAATCGTTTGACGACAGTTGGTCATGCAGGTTGATGGTTCCATAGTTCAAAAGGTTAGCGATTTCGCCTTCGGTTAACTGATGACGGGAAGTCTTTTCATGTTGCTGAATGAGCTGTTGTTGTAGTTCTTGTTCAAGTTGGCTCTGCTGTGGAATCTGTTGCTGGTGGAGTGCAAGTTGCTCATGGCCAACGAGTTGGGCGTACGTGGGTACATCGTTGGAGTGTTGCGATTGGAGGTCATTTAACTGGATTTGACTGACTGCGTTTTGCAGTTCATTGAGTTGATCCTGGGTGGCGGAAAGAATTTGGCCTGTGCTTGCTGCCGGTTCTCCATGCTTGTACGAGTAGGAATTGAATACAACATTTCCGGGTTGCGTCGGTGGAGTTTGGACGGCGCCCAAAAAGCTTGTCTCCGGTTTGAAAAGATTCGTTTGCAGCTGCTGTTGGTGGTTGTTGAAGAGGTTATTGGACTGGGTCACGAGATAGGTTGGATTGTAGAGCTGGAATTAATAGGGGCAATGTTAGTTCGAATCATGGGACAATTGAATGGTCGGGCCACTAACCGAGACTGGCATTCCCTGCAACATGGATGTCTGTTGGAGGATGTGCTGTTGAAGTTGAGGCTGCGTGGCCAACGGGATGCCATAGCCTGGCTGTGGAGCAGCTGCGTTAACAAGTTCGTAGTATGGCTTCTGGACCAACGGGGCAGTGTTAGGCTGAGGAAGGTATTGGGTTTGGCCTTGGGTTTGCGCTTGGATTAGTAGGTCATTGGGTAGGTATTTTCCATTGCTGGGTTCACTCAGGGGATCCGAAGTGGGTACCAGAGTCTTGCTCGGAAGGGATGGATCGGGATCCGGAGCGAAGTATGTCTTGTGGCCGGAATACAGATCTTTCAGCGTTACGTCATTGTTGTGTTCTTCGGTGACCTGGTACTGGTGGACCGTAGCGGGTGGATACGGTGTCTGATGATGGTGATGATGGTGGTACGGTGCAAATGGCTGTGGCTGAATGAATTCGACAAAATAGGGAAAGACATATAGAGAAAGGTGTTTAACAATTTCAATCATTCCCTTTCAGCGCTTATGTTTCACTTTCTTTACGGCCATAAAAATGCATGTTGAACAGCACAAACGGCACGTTGCTTATGAGTATGATTTCGCGCAACGATGAACAGCCTAATGACGCGGTGGCATATCGAAATGACGATGATTGTGAGTGCATTGGCGTGACTAGGTAGGAGGTAGAGGAGTATTTCTTGTGATTCCGATTATCCTCTATAGTGGAAGCTCAAAGTCTTACCGAACATGAATAACAGAAATCGGGGTGATCTGCACGAAACAATCAAACTTCTGATTAAGACTACGGGACATAAATCGATTGGCATTTCATGGAAACGGGTAATTTGGATGGATCAATTAGTGAGGATCAAGAGTCATTAGGCATAATGGTTTAAAATGGAAACTGACAAATTGAATTTGATAAATTTTGAGATCCAGTGATGAGATCAACTAATTGCACACATAGTTAGCGGCAAATTTCCATGTTAATTTATTTATTTATTGCCGTCAATTAAAAAGACTACACAGCATCCGAGTTAGACCAGGTGAGGATTCATTTCGGTTCAGGGAATCAAATAAAAATTTATCTATTTAAACTTAGCTAGTGTACATGTTAACTTCTAGTATGTGCTGTAAATTTTGAACTTATGTGTTCGCCATGAGCTTCGATTACCCGAACAACTTTGCCCCCGACATCAAGTTCAGAAGTGGTCAGATACTCGAGAGCACATTTTAGGAGTTCATTTGCACACTAGGGTGCGTCAATTTGAAAAAAAGTTTGATTCATAATCCACAAAATACACGCCTGTGCACAACAAATGCAATGATTGATGAAGGTTTAGAGGTCGCGTAAATGGTTTAAATGATCGTTCACTCTAAATGCTATTACGGTGGGATTTTCTTTTTGAAGATTAGACCATTTTTTTAACGAAAAAAATAAAGAAAATAAATTTTTAACATGATTTTTCAGCAAATCTGCAAATTCTCATTACAGCTAAAATGCCGTTTTTTTTAAATTATGAAACTATGATATATTATAATGATAATTTTTAATTAGAAGTTGTGAGAAGAGGAGGTCAAGTTTGAGTATGACACATAACACCTGTCAATTTCGTTGTCAGAGGGCCACAATTAGCGATTTTATGATCGCGAACGCAAGCAATGAAAACCATAATCACATTACTTATCAAGGTGAATCCTGATCATACAAACCTAACCCTCCAACAAAATTTAACTCCCGTGATCTATGTGGGGATTCAGAGGTACACTCGGTCTCCTTTTACAGCAAAGATCACGCTCTAACATTCCCTTCCAATTCCCACATGATTGCAAAAACGTGGTCGGTACCGTTGTTTAACCTTAAATATTTGAAATAACTTAAAAAATGTACAGTGAGAATAAACGGCAACTCCCAGTTCAGTTGATACATTGTGCAATTTCACTGGTTTGGCTCAATCACGGGGTAGGAACCATTGATATGAGCGAGCAGTCAGTCTAAGCTAAACTAAGCTAAGCTAATAGCACTTATGTTCTACCTGATGTGGTGAGGATCTAGGAATTTTTAGGGATTTGTATTATAAGTCTAAACATTGTACAAAACATTGTTAAGTTTGGATCTCAATATATTTTATCATTTCGAGTATATATCTCACATGATATACATAATAGAGCTCTGTATAGCTCTACGGGTTAAAAAAACTTAATAAAGACAACGTACAATACCGCGTTGAGTTTGTAAATCCTCATGATCTTACCTTTTGGATGATTTAGAGACTCAAATAAATTTTGTAACACAACTATGTATCTCACATTATGTTATGAGGTCCTAAAATACTCTATGGATTTGTATTCTATATCTGGACATTATACAATACAGTATTGAGCCTGTTAACTTGAAACTTTGGAGACCCTGAAATATTTTTTTCATTATTACTAACTATTCCTCGTGATTTTATGAACACAGACAAACAGACGTTACTCTTCATTCTGGATCATCGTTCACGCATTTAACGATTGATTTGAATTTTATCATTTCTGCAAACTACTCACCCCTCATGTTTCTATATAAAATGTTTATCTTGCATGCAACATTGTTTGCGACTTGGCCTGCTAGCTTGTTTTGTTTTCCGCGAGAAGTTCGAGAGATGTCGTTACTGAGGTCATATTTTAAGGTACAATATTTTTAAGAAGAAGAATTTTTAAGAAACGACAAAATTTTGCCTGTCCCTTTTGCCTTGAAAAAAAAAATCTTCAAGAACCTTTTCTCAGCTTACTGCTTAACGAATGGGGAGTATTTGCTTCACATGATGTTATGGAGCTCCATAAAGCGATTAGGGGTTGTTCATAAACTACATAGACATTTTAGTATCTACGGTCCATAAAAAATATTCACACTTAAAAATTTTCGCCGAGATTCCAACTGCCGAGTGATTCTGCAATTTATTTTGCTGAGATTCAGTAAAACAATTGCCGAGACTTAGCTAACAAATAACGTTTTGCTGAGATATCAGCTAACAAACAGATATTTTGCAGAGATATCAGCAAAAGTAAATGCCGAGGTAATCGGCTGTTGTAGATTATACCGAGCTAGATTAAGTGTGTTGACAATGGTCTCACACTCTCAAAATCGGTCTACATAGTTTATGAACAGCCGCTTAGAGTTGAAAGATTCATTCGGTACAGTTGAGCCTGTAGACCTTCGAAATATTAACTCCAGAATGATTTGTAGAACTAGAAATGTTAGGTCAGCACAACTATGTGTTCCATAGAATGTTGTCGAGTATCATCGCTCAAGGAGTTCGAAAATTTGAGCGTTACATCGTGCAATGATTTGTTGAACCTGTAGAACTCAAGATTCAAACTCCAGGATGATTTGGCGAACATTTACTATCGCTTTTCTCGTGCTTCGTTCGATTGTATTGGTATAAACTATATATATTTTTTTAATATACAGAGACAACATTTCCTTGATTATATGCGAATTCATAATTGTATGACGTTTTGGAGATCTAGGTCAACAAAGGTTTTATCACAGACAAACAGACGTAACTCTTTATTCTGGATCATCGTTCGCTCATTTAACGATTGATTTGAATTTTATCATTTCCGCGAACTTCTCACCGCAGCACTGGCATCGGATCACTTTAATGTTTCTAAAGTCCATTCTATGTGCGCGAGTATCGATGGTCCGTAAGTGAGGATAACAATAACAAACCAAAATTTTTGGCTGGGGTGAAAGTGAGGAGAACAAACTTCGCACTTGAAAATGGGATTACGCAAGTGTGCATATTATAAACGTTAGAAACTTCAATATAATATGTTTATCTTGCATGCAACATTGTTTGCGACTTGGCGAGCTAGCTTGTTTTCCGCGAGAAGTTCGAGAGATGTCGTTACTGAGGTCCTTATTTAAGGTACAATGTTTTAAGAAAAACTTTTTCAAATAGTTACGTCTGTTTGTTTGTGATTTTATTTTGATTAGGGATTTTAACTATTGCGTCCATGGATTCGAACTTTTGTAGTATACCCTGTTTACTGCAGCATTAATTGAGTGATCAGCTAGCTGCCTTGGGAACGTGTCAACCCAGCCAGGTATGATGAGGTTTATGAAACCAATCACCTTTCCAGGATTGGCAGACTTCTTCGATGACCTGTACAAAGCAGACCGCTGGAATTTATGCTGAAGAAATCCCATCTAAAAAGCAGCTGCCAAAACGCATCACGGGAAAACCTCTCCGCGGCTGTAGCAGTAGCTCTTCGTGAGGTCCGCCAATACCAGGAGAGTAGGAAGCTACTGACCCGTAAGTTATATAGTCACTATATTCATAGTCTGGCGGAAAGAATCTCGGGAACCAATTGAACTGTCAAATAGCGGAACCAATCGAGCAAATCACGACCAACAACAGAAAAGAGCACATCAGCTATTGCGAGCAAATCTTAGAAAACCCTTTTCTCGTGACTCAAGGCTCGTCTACGCAAACTAACACCATCTTTAGGTTGGGGAAAGTTTTCTCTATTCGATGATGCAGGTAATTTGCGTTCGATTAGCAAAGAAAGAATAATCAACGTTTTGTTTATAAAAGTTGATAGTACCTTTTCAATTGTTGGTCTAAAATATATTGAATTGGTTCCGCTTTTTGATCGATCGAAATTCTATCCGCCAGACTTTGAATATAGCGACTATAGTAAGTTACCGTTCTCGGCAAAATAACGTAAGAATTCCATAAGAAACACTTATGAATTTTAGCCATAAGAAATGAGTGTGCATTTCATGGATTTGCATTATGAAAAATAATGTAAACAAAAAAATTATAAATCGAAGCAGACAGAAACCGGAAAATGGACGTTGAGGTTAGAAGGCCCGTGTGTTTACCACTCGTCTTTCAACGCTTGGGAAAATGAAATGGTTAAAGGCGTATAAGCAAAGATGAATACTAAGATAAAACTGTCGGAAGAAAAACTTTCTATTTTAGTGTCCTCTTTCACGGTCCCTTTCATTCAATGAATACCCCCCGTATTCAAGGTAATTTTGTGGTTTTGCTGCCCCCTCGGTAGAGATGAAATTTTGCGCTCATTTTTATCAAAACAATAACACCAAAATCAGAGATGTCCCATTTTTTAATTACTCGATTAACAACTAATCGATTATTTTTTGTTCGCTGTGCTGCCATTTTTCCACCAATGAGAGTGCAGCACATGTTGCAAACGATCGGTGATGATCCTGTGAAGATGTTAATGCTTATATCGGCATGATCTAACCGATTACAAATAGTTTACTTTTCGGTTCGTTAATCGATTAAACGATTATTCGAATGAAAATCGGCCATCACTAGATTAATGTGAAACGTCATTTCAAATATAAGGACCGTACATAAATAATGATACAATTTGGAAGGGACCGGGGCTAATCACAAATTTCGTCCCCACGGTAACTGAAATAAACACGAGTGTTCACCGGTTGGTATAAGAGCTACCTCATGTTACCCGAAAATCGATCATAAGTCACGGTTATGAAATTCATATTTGTTGTTCATAAGTTGAGCCTTATGCAATTCTTAGGTCTATTTGCCTCAGTGTTCCAGCGTCGTATGTAAAGGCTGACTAAAATCAAATTGGTACGCCCCTCGCGCACCGCTAGCACGCGTCTAGTTCCAAGCTGGCTAAAGTGCTGAAGATACCAGAAACAACAGTTTGTTGAGTGCTCAAAACCTACAAGGAAACCCTGAGTTTGGAAAGGAATCAGCGGACCTACAAAAAAAAATGGAATTATGGATCGTCAAGATTCAAGTTCGTGTTTGCCGACAAGTTCGTGAAGAAGGCCATGATTTGGCAAGCGATTTGCAGTTGTGGTATGAAAACGGAACCATTCGTCACATCCTCTACGATGAAATCCCAAGTTTACATCGAAGAATGCCTGAAAAAGTGTGTATTGCCGTTCATTCGGATGCATAGTGGCATAGTCATCTTTTGGCCCGATTTGGCCAGCTGCCACTACTCCAAGGTGGTTCTGGAGTGGTATGATACCAACAAGACCGATTTTGCCCCCAAGCTAATGAATCCTCCGAATTGCCCGGAATTTCAACCAATCGAAAAATGCTGGGCAATTTCAAAGCAGCGACTTCGATGAAGCGGCGGAGCAGTCAAGGACATCTAGCAAATGCGGGAAAATGGAAGAAATGCGCTGATCCCGTGTCCGCATCCACTGTTCGGGCGCTGATGGGCTCCATCAAGAGGAAGGTTCGAAATTTCGTTCGAACTGGAGAAATGTAACCATCTAATGCTGTAACCACAGACAGACGTAAATACGTTAGAAATGGTTTGCTCACTAGCCCCACGTAGGTTACTTATTGCTACAGTAGAATTGACAGATGCCACCCGCTCTTGCTATACCTTTACGCGCCTTAAAAAAATCTACACAGCACCGTTCCATGCGAGCTGTTTTTTTTTTGTTTTTCGTACTAACATCGAGACCCAAATTTATCCATCGGCTATGCTAAGGGTCTCCTAAAATGGTTCCGTTGCTAGATACTAACTATAGAAATTACTATCTGTGTACCATCAAATCTAAAGGTACACATTTTCACAATCACAACATGTAATAGCGCTGTAAGATGATGTACTGCTAGTTTCTAATGTTGCATCCAGCTTAAATCCCTACATCAGAAGTGGTTAAGTCCAATTCTCGGAAAAAAAACCAACCGGCGGCATTGTGTAAAATTGACCGCGAAGAAACGGTGCCGCAGCTTCGTTTCTGATTTTTGCACCCTGGACGCTGAGTAGATTTTAGTGGTACGAAATCAATTCAACGAGGACTCTGAACATGGACCCAACTGGGACTACTAGAACTAAAATTTCCCATACCCGAAGAAAGTAGTTTCACCTAAACAAACCAAATCTTTACCGGATGAAGCATCTCGCAGCTCTGTGCTTAGCGTCCAAGTTCAAGTCAAAAATGAAAACTTACTTCTGACAGGTGAATGAAAATTGTCGAAATGATAGCAAATCGTATTCCAATTTTGACGTTAACATCAAATTGAATTCTTAATTTGATTCCTGGGCATTTTCGCTAGGTAGCGCACACATTTGCCATATTTGCTAGAATTTCGCCGTGCATATTGCTTTATCCATTCCAATCGATAGAATTGTCCAAAACTGATTTAAAATACTTTTGCAACGCTCCAAACTTCTCAAGTGAGTATGATTATTGTCGGAAGCCTCTTTTTCTTCGGCAATCTTTTTATTTGATCTGCTCGTAATCTGCTGTTCTATTAGAAAAAAAAAAAAACTGAAAAAAAAATGCATTTTCTCAGCCATAAAAACCATATAAGATTGAAGCTGAAAGTCTAAGAAAAAACAGACATTTTAACCAGGTTAGCAAACAAGTTCGAACTGGTTTCAGTTACAGATATAAATTCCCTCTAGAGTTTACAGTTGCTTCACAGCGATATAAATGTGGAAAAGCTCAGGCGTCCACCTATTAGTTCGCCTTTTTGTCCACCTAAAATACCGTATGCGTGATAATGTTTGCACCATCGTACAAATAAGGTTCCCGTTTCACCTGTGCATACAATGCCTTGGTTTTCTTTGCATGCATGTAACCTATAGTTCATATCGTAGTAGGCTGTGTATAAAAGAAAATGATTTACTTAGTTTGACAGTTGCACCATGACGAAGTGGCAGCGTATTCGTGATTTGTCCCACGCGCAAATGTCGCAAAAAGACATTTCAATCGCCGTGGGAGTGTCCCGGTGGACCGTCAAAAGGGTTTTAGACCGAGAAAAGAAAGGACAACTATCCGCGAAGGTGGCCACAGGTCGTCCGAGGTCAGCTCGGGTTCCGAGGGTTATCGCTGCTATCAAAAGGAAGATCGGGTGAATCCAGTGCGTTCAATAAGGAAAATGGCAAAGGAACACGGGATCAGTGACTTTACGGCACGGAAGATCGTAAAGGTAGATTGCGGGACGAAGTCGAGGGCACGGAAAAAAACTCACATGATTACCAACCGCATCCAGGAGCTATGGGTCGAACGATGTAAGAAAATCTTGAACTTCCTTAAGCGAATAAATCCGGTAATCCTGTTCCCTGACGAGAGCATGTTTACCGTCGATCCCGTATCAAATTCCAGAACCGACCGGTATATTAGTTCTCTTCCGGTAAAAGACGTGGCCGACGAGCACAAGCACGTGTATCTGACCAAGCATCCTGCTAGCGTTATGGTGTTTGGATTGGTGGCTTCCGATGGCAAAAAAATGGACCCGGTGTTCATTCCAGAAGGCGACAAGGTCAACACGGAGGTCTACATCGGGATTTGAAGTAAGTATGTTCTTCCGTGGATCAAAGAGCAGTACGGTCCGAAGCCAAATGTTGTATTTCAACAAAATGAGGCTCCGTGCCACACCTCGAACCGCACTCAGAAGTGGTTGCAGGAACATCTTCCGTTCTGGGCGAAGGATATGTGGCCGCCATCCAGCCCCGATCTTAATCCGCTGGATTACTCAATATGGCGCGTTATGAAGGCCAAGGCCTGTTCTAAACACCACCCGAGTACAGCAAGCCTCAGACAAACATTGACCCGTACCTGGAGAGAAATGGATCCAGACTAAATTATTAGATCCTGTCGTGCATTCCGGAAGCGTGTTGAGGCCGTAATTGCAGCAAGTGGAAACTCGATCGATGATTAACATAGTTTAAGACTTTGAGAAACATCCCCCCTTTGAATAAATTAAAAAACTCGAAAACGAAATTTTTGAGGATTTTTTTAATTTTGACATTGCTTAATGGTGCAAACATTATCACGCATACGGTATTCATAAGTATTACAAGCAATCAAGAGTTAATGAACAATCAACTAAGCATCCTATTATACTAGCAACCCCGCAATCTGATGCTATCATAATTTTCAGCAATGTCAGGAATGCTCACGAACCCCCAACATTTGCCAGAAAGCTTACTACTAACTCAAGGTTTCTTCCAAATAAGCTTCAAAATTGCATTTTTTTTTATATCAAATGTTAAATTCAGTACTCTATATCCGTAATACGCGCACGAGGCTCAAACCTTTGTAGACTGCTTTTTTCAAATTAATCTACTATTTATTAAATCAAATATTAAAAATCCATCATCACCATCGTGGCGAACAGAAATAGTTTTTGCAGTGCTACAATAATTATTAAAAAGTCGTTATGACAGCTAAACATATAAAATAATCCATTAGAGATACTTCGTCAAGATACTTATTTTGCCAATTCAAAAAAAAACCACTGGATAACTGTTCAAAAGACAGTTTTAACGTGTGAAATGCAGTGTCTTTTAAATTAAGTGTTGCTGAACGTTTGATATGTCAGGCATTGAATTGAAAACATTTATTCCTTTATAATATAATGAATTTTGTGAAGCACAAGTCAAGAACCGTTAAATCGACCGAAACGACAGTAACATGAGTAATCATTATTTGCTACATCACAACATAAAATTTAGTTTTGCTCGGGATTCATCAACATAGAAATCACTTTTGCACACAGGCATCTTCTGCCCCTTTGATCGTTTAAATATAAAACAATTTGATGATTTCATGGTTAAATTGTCCTAGTTATGCCAATACGACTCAAAAACACAAATAGCTAATTACAAAATTAAGAAAGCCACTCACCGTAGAGAGAGCCGCATACGTCGGCGAGGGCGAAGCAAACGTGCTCTTGGCGGGGAATGTCGCCTTGGTCGGTTTGTGGATATCGATCTCCAGGTGGTTGCTGTCATCGAACGAGGTGATTTTCAGCTGGTGCACCGGTTTGGCTTTGCTGCTGGCCAGATTCGGTGCCGGAATCGTATGAATTGCTCCGTCCTTGGGGGATGTCAACCGTCCACTGGATTGTGAAATCAACTAAAGTTTTTTTTTTGTTCGGAAGAAACAGCAAGATGATAATCGTTTGCCCATTAACAATTCATTACTCGTTGTCGCGTGAAGACGCTGATTGCCTGCATGCCGTTCGTGATGTACTTACTGGTTTCAATTTCTCGTAGATGATTTCACCTGTTTTCGGCCCCGGCGGCGAACCCTGGAATTTGGGCTTCAAACTCAGATTCAACACGTATGGCGATTGAGATGCTGCTCCCAGGAACGGTCGTTTGATCAGCGGTTGCTTCAGCAGGGAGTACGATGGCGAAAAGACTGACTTTACCGGGCGCTTATGACTGCCGAGGGATTGAGAAAAATAGATATATGGTTAATTGAGTTATTAATTGTCATGGCAGTTTTGAGCGGTAATGAACCTCATCATCATTGCTGGCGCCGGTCGCACTGCTACCGGGGACAGTCGAGTGCCACTTCGCAGCTGTACCATGTACTGCTTGAGAGCTGCTTGTCCGGCGGCCTGTTTCGCTGCCCACAGCGGGTGTACCAATGGGGGCTTGCCGTAGCTTCCGCTGATCATTGGCTTGAATTGCGGGTAGTCGGCACACGTTGCGCTTATTGCTAGGAACAGAAGCAATGTTGTGTACTGAAACGAAAGGATACAGGAAGGTTGGTCAGGATAATGTTTCCTATTTGAAGAATTTTTGAAATTCTGGCATCACTAAACATAATTGGTGGGAGTCTCGATTGTCATTCATAATTTTTTGGGCAAAAATTGTATAATTATATTTCCAAACTAATTACGTACGGTTACGTATTTATCGTTGTAACCAATGCTTTTCTCTCTCTCTCGAAAATTAAAACATGATCACGCAAACGCAACCCCACAGACAAACAGACATAAAACTGACATATTTTTCCTTGAACACATTTAACGGTAATTTTTTTTTATAGTAGATGGTATCGCCGCCAATGTCAATTCCATTTGTTTGCCGCAGAACGCCAGTTTGCCTTAAATTGCTTCTCGCTTCCACCAGTTTTGTTGGCAGCTCAGTTCGTGATTCTCTGCTTGATCGTCAAGCAGTTCGGTTCGGTGTTAGCTCGGTCTCTCGAGTTGTTTGAAAAGTTCGTGGCGATAGTGTTCGCGCTCTCTCTTTCGCGGTTTGTCGTGCGTGTGTGTATGCCCCGAAATGGGGAAGCATCGGTCGCGAAGCCCAGCGAAGGTCCAGAACCCCGGTGAAGGAAGCTCCGGTGTGCCTACCTCGAACAGGTTTGCTGTTCTCCCCATTATAGTGTATGCCCCTCTTAACAGGGAAGCTATTATTGTAGCGATCAAAAAGTTACATTGTACGTAACTCATAAGCGTATGTGTAAAAAGCAAGCACGTAAATAAACGATGCGAGCAGGGTCTCGCTCTCTTAGTGCATAGTCTGCAGAACAAACAACAAGTGTTTCTGTAAATCGTATTCATCCTGGAAACCAGATTAACAATACCTTGTTAGACCGTTTTAGAATCTTCGTTATCATACATAAAAGTGGCGACGAGAAAATCGGTGCGCGTGTGAATATACCGGGATATCGATAGTGAAGAGGGAAAAACCTGTAAAACTTCATTTCAACACCGGGGGATGCATTTTGTTTTAACTGCAACTGTAAAGTTGTCCGCGTAGCTGGTTGGCTAAAGGACGAGTTAAAGGACTTCTACCGTTGAACACCGATTAGTGTAATTGCATTGTAATTGTATAGAGAAACGTGGAACTGAACAGTGATATTTAGAGGTGGAATTTAATCAGTCCATTTTGTTTGCGGTTTTGTAAGACCTGCATGTAGACAAGTTACTATAACAGAGGAGTGATCGAGAAAATTTTGTGAAATTTTATATTACCACTACCCAACTGGGCATGTTGTATGGCTGATGAACTGTCTGTCCAAGGTATGCCAAATTTAAAGAACTGTTGAGCGACAAAAACGAACATACATCAGCATTGTAAGGCGCCGATTGGTGCAATTGAATGTAATACAAGCAGTTTTCTTGTTTAAGGTAAACGAGCTGAGCTGTTTGGTGGCACGGTGGGCGAGAAGAGTGTTTTTTTTAGGAAAAAAATAAATAGTTTAAATTTAACGAAACGGTATGTGAATGACTGCAGCATTAATGTGCAAGGGCGCCATTTTTAAATGGTAGCTTCAATTTAATAATAAAAACACAAAGAGTGATATTAACATTGAGAGTGGAATTGCTTTTATACTGCTGAATACATCTACATTGAAATAATCACTATTATAATTTGACAAGGTTTGAAGAAAACTGTATTAACCCGTGAATAAGAGTGTTTTTTCTCCTATTTCTTTTGTTTAGGTTGACTTTTCAGAAATTTCTCTGCAGTTTGATGGCTGGTCATATTAACTAAACAATGAAGGAAGCAATGGCTATCTGTGCTCACAATCGAACAGATTCCTGCACGATGAAGATCGATGATGTGGTGCTGAACGTATCACGAACGGAAACTTCCGCATTTTGGGTCATCGCGGTTTATAACGGATGTAAGGTGAAAGCACATAAGAAAACATCCGGTTGCCGAGACCTAGATCGAGTTTATTGGTGGGCGATAAGGTTGTCGATACATGGTGAAAAGTGTTTTTGTGAATGCCAACAGGCAAAAGAAGATCGAAGATTTTTACAATACGAGAAAGCGTTGCTATTAAGTAAATACTATCAGAATTTTGATAAAGCTATCGCTGAAGTTAGTGTGCTCAAAAAAGCCAACTAGATCGAACTAAGCCAAATGGTAACTTAAACTTAAGCTCTAAATTAGTTGATGTTTTTTAGCTTAGATTGTTAATTGTCAAACCAGCAAAAAATTGAGAATTTTGTTTACCGTTTTGTAAAGTTCTGAAGGGGGGAAAACTATAGTGTATGCCCCTCTTAACAGGGAAGCTATTATTGTAGCGATCAAAAAGTTACATTGTACGTAACTCATAAGCGTATGTGTAAAAAGCAAGCACGTAAATAAACGATGCGAGCAGGGTCTCGCTCTCTTAGTGCATAGTCTGCAGAACAAACAACAAGTGTTTCTGTAAATCGTATTCATCCTGGAAACCAGATTAACAATACCTTGTTAGACCGTTTTAGAATCTTCGTTATCATACATAAAACCCATGGATGGGAATATCCAGCCAGCTGTGTTGGAAAAACGCAGCAAGAAGAGAAAGAAGAATCGAGGCCAGTCCGATGTCACTGCGACGAACGCCAGCGACATCGGTGATTTCGGCGACGCCATCGGCAACGAAAATTCTGCCGGCCCGAGTGCGGCAAAAGTGAAGTTACCTCCATTGGTAGTGAAAAATGCCCATCTTAATGAGCTCATCGCAGATCTAGCGACGCTGGGCGTTAAAGCCGAATACAAGTTGGGCAGAATCGGCACCAAGGTGGTGCTCCGTACCAAAGCGGAGTATGACCATAGAGGTAACTCTAAGACCACTGGGTCCCGAAGAAAATCATTATTATTTTTGGCTCATTCAGTACCAGAACAACGGTCCCAAGCAGTCCCAAGCTATTTCACTCACCCCTGCATGTTCTGCATGAATCCACACACCCCTGATGTTATCTGTCAAACTTTCATAGCGAATCAAAACAAACATAGTGTAGTAATAGAATTTCAACTAGAATAGGGTACGTTAATCGTTTGCTTGGGACCAATAGGCTACTAAAGTGGTGAGCCAATTTAAAATCGTTAGTTTCGTATTGATTGTTGGTATGACTTGGTCGTCGCCCACCTGAGGACTTCCAAGGTGGAATTCTTCACCCACGACATTCCCGGTGAGAAGCCATTCAAGGTCGTCATTAGGGGCCTACCAAACTTCGACCCGAAGTTTATCGAAGCTGAAATCAGAGACCGGTACAAGCTGGCCCCAAGTGCCGTCTATCGGATGACAATGAAGGACGAAAATGTGAAGGCGTATCCGGATAGCCTTTTCCCGGTACACTTCCAGAAGGGAATGGTGACGCTCAATGCGCTGAAGGTCATCCGCTCCATCAATTCCATCATCGTCCGCTGGGAGCCATACCGTGGCGGCCATCGTGATGTGACTCAGTGCCAACGGTGTCTGAACTTTGGACACGGCACCCGCAACTGCAACATTAAGCCACGCTGTGGCAATTGCGCTCAAGACCACGCCACTTCCGACTGCCCTGTGGATGGAGCCGTGGAGTTAAAATGCGCCAACTGTGGTGGTGCTCACCAAGGTTCCGACAGACAGTGCTCCAAACGCGAGGACTTCAAACGCATCCAAAAACAGGCGGCAACTAACAACCAACCAGGACGCAAGAAGGACAAAGTCCCGGCATTTCGGACGGAGGATTTCCCGCCTCTTCGTGCTCCTCAGCAAAGGCAAAAGAATTCGCGGGTGCATTCCGCTCAAGCAACTTCTGGTGATTCTGCTGGCCAAAGTTCTCCATCCCCCCCTGGATTCTGGAAACAACCACCAGCGCAAAACAACAACCCCGATCTGTTCTCAGCGGATGAACTGATGGAAATTTTCGTCAACATGTCCGGTGCTCTTCGTAAGTGCCGCAATAAACCCGAACAGATCCAAGTGCTCGGTAAGTTCATCATCCAGTATGGTGTCTAAACCGCTAAGTATCGTCACCTGGAATGCTTGCTCTGTAAGAGCAAAAGAGATTGAGCTTGCCGATTTCCTCCGCAAGCACAGCATCGACGTGGGCCTTCTAACCGAGACTCATCTAAAGTCCGGCGACAGCTTCTGGTTGCCTGACCACAACATTATACGGCTTGATCGCACCAGCTCCAGGGGGGGTGGTGTTGCGGTCGTCGTCAAGAAAGGAATAAAATACCACACTCTGTCCCATATCCGCACCACTATCATCGAGGCCCTTGGTGTGGAGGTGGAGTCGTCGACTGGATACGTCCAGTTCATCGCCGTCTACTGCCCTCGATAGTGTGCCGCCAGCAGTGGACTAGCGGCTAAATTCAAGAAGGACCTTTCCACCATCACCCGTAACGGTTCCCGCTTCGTAGTAGGAGGAGATCTAAACGCTCGCCATGAGGCCTGGCTTAACTACAGGCAGAACCAGAACGGTCGTCTGCTGTTCGACCACTCACAGCATGGGCTGTACTCCGTTTGGTTTTCGGATGAGCCAACATTTATCTCACCGCCGGGCAACCCATCGACGCTAGACCTGTTCCTGACAAATATCGGCTTGTCCAAGCCGGTAGCCTTGAACGAACTCAGTTCCGACCACCAACCGGTGGTGTCTGAGCTGGGCTGCAACGTGGCTCCTGCCTCAAGCCTGCGCAGGGACTATCATCGCGTAAACTGGGCCCAGTTTGGACGCGTGGTAGACAGACACATCATCGACAACCCGCCGCTTGACACCGTGGAGGACATCGACCGAGCGTTGGAGGGACTCCACCAAGCCATAACCGTGGCTGACGAGGCGTGCGTCCGACGAGTTCCTGTGAGGGGTAAGTTTATTGCTATTGATTCCCACACCCAACTCTTAATTCGCCTGAGAAATGATCGTAGACGCCAGTTTCAGAGGACTGGAGATCAAGCGATGAAACGTGAAATGGCCGATCTGAACAAGGAGATTGCTTCCAGAATGGTCTCACTCCGGAACGAAAGTTT